GCTGCATGGGTTACCGGACCGAGTCGTGTCAGATCAGGGGGTGCAATTTATGGCACGCTTCTGGCAGACCCTACTCACGGAACTGCAGGTACAGGCGTGTCTGTCCTCCGCCCATCACCCCGAAACCGACGGGGGCACAGAGAGGGTGAATGCCATCTTGGAACAGTACCTCCGCTGTTTCAGCAACACCCAACAGGACAATTGGGCGGAGCTGCTGGCTGTGGCGGACTTCGCCTATAACAACGCTCAGCATGCATCCACCCATGTGTCGCCGTTCTTTGCCAGTTATGGATTTCATCCACGGCTCTTTTGGTTGGCTCCGTCTGACTCCCCAGTTCTGGCCATGGACAAGTTCCTCCAGGAGCTGAAGGCGGTGCTCCAAGTGGTTCGACACCAGCTGGAGAAAGCCAAGGAGGATTACAAACGATTCGCCGATCGTCAAGATGTCCCTCCGTTATCTGTGGGCGATCGGGTTTGGCTTTCCATGCAGTACCTGCCCACAGCACGGCTGTTAAAAAAACTCGATCACCGTTAGTTGGGGCCATTTCCGGTCGAAGCGGTGATCAATCCTGTGGCATTTTGCTTGTCATTGCCCCGGACCATGCGGATTCACCCGGTTTTCCACAGGTCATTGCTGGTTCCAGTAGCGGCCGACGACCCACATCGGCCGGATCCACCACCGCCACATCCGGCAACCCCTCATGGAGATGTGGAGTATGAAGTGGACATTATTTGGGATTCTCGTCGGTTCTGGGGCCGGTTTCAGTACCTCGTGGCGTGGAAAGGCTACCTGAGGACTTAACGTGGGTCGATGCCGCCGACGTTCACGCCCCTCGTCTGGTCTGCGACTTTCATGCCCGGTTCCCGCACCGTCCCAGTCCGCATGGTCCCGGGGGAGGGGGTCCTGCGGGGGGGGGGGAATAGTGTCATGCCTCAGTCTGAGCTGGAATCCGAGGAAGACATGGAGCTGGAGCAGGACCCTGTTGAGGCCCAGGAGGAGGTATCTGTGTCTTTGGAGGACTGTGGGGAAGAGCAGGCTGAGGCAGGCCAGGGCCCTTCAGGTTTGGAACAGGGGAGGCAGAGTTCAGGTGACGAGCAAGCCCCCCCACCTGATCCTAGAGCAAGGAGAGCAGAGAGGAGGAGAGAACAACATAGGCAGGCTCAATTGTTCGGGAGGAGAGCGGTCCGCCCCACTCCACAAGGGACACCTGGGGATTAATATTTAAGGAGACGCTATGGGGTGGGGCATTTGCCGGGAACAAATGTGGTATCTTGGGACAGTTGTGAATTGTGCTCTTGTCTTTGTTTAACCTGGGCACCTTGAATACCGGACCGGCTGGTTTCCTGCTCTACGACCGCAGACTGCATTTCTGAGTCTCTCCTTGCAGACTGCAGGCAAGCTGAGATTTTAAAAGGACTCATTAAGTTTCTGTTTTGTTTTCTTGTTATCTGTCTGGCCTTGAGGACATTGTATACTTCTCCGGCTGTATTGAGATTGCCTTCAGTCAGAGGCAGCTGAAGGGAACGTGTGTGTGTGCTTTGGTTGAAGGCTTGCCAGCATATGTGGGAGCTTTGGGGGAACATTGGCAGTTAATAAAGGACTGTTTCTCTTGCCAACCGACTGCTTTGCCTCCGTGCGGGGCCCTGGGTCATCACAGGCCTGTCTGAAGTTTGCCAATGAACATCTGAATGATTCAGAGGAGAACTGGGTGAAAGTGTTGTGGTCAGATGAGACCAAAATCGAGCTCTTTGGCATCAACTCAACTCGCCGTGTTTGGAGGAGGAGGAATGCTGTTTATGAACCCAAGAACACCATCCCCATTGTCAAACATGGAGGTGGAAGCATTATGCTTTGAGGGTGTTTTTCTGCTAAGGGGACAGGACAACTTCACCGCATCAAAGGGACGATGGACGGGGCCATGTACCCTCAAATCTTGGGTGAGAACAACCTCTCAGCCAGGCACATTAAGGTCCTGGAGTGACCTAGCCAGTCTCCAGACCTTAATCCCATAGAAAATCTGTGGAGGGAGCTGAAGGTTCGAGCTGCCAAACGTCAGCCTCAAAACCTTAATGGATCTGCAAAGAGGAGTGGGACAAAATCCCTCATGAGATTTGTGCAAACCTGGTGGCCAACTACAAGAAACGTCTGACCTTTGTGATTGCCAACAAGGGTTTTGCCACCAAGTACTAAGTCATGTTTTGCGAAGGGGTCAAATACTTCTTTCTTTCACTCATTAAAATGCAAATCAATTTATAACTGTTTTGAAATGCATTTTTCTGCATTTTTTTTTGTTATTCTGTCTCTCACTGTTAAAATAAACCTACCATTAAAATTATAGACTGATCATTTCTTTGTCAGTGGGCAAACGTACAAAATCAGCAGGGGATCAAATAATTTTTTCCCTCAGTGTAGAAGTAAAAAGTTGAGATCATTACTATGTAACTTAATGCCCAGAAAAAAGTTGAAATCCCTCCTTTTTTTTCTTCCCCTTTACCCCGCAATTTACTCCTCCCCTTTTCGCTTACCCACTTTCCTTATTGTCTTTATTTTCATTTGTGTTTTATATTAAGAAAAACTTTCAATAAAAACTTTCTTATTAAAAAGGTATTACTTCTAGGAACAAGGCAATGCTAAATAGGAAAATTGAAGAATAAATTTTAAAATGTCAGTGGCATGTTCCAGTAACATTTCTTGGTCTCTTATATGAAGGAAGATTTCAGTCAACATTGGAAAAAGAAAAGACAGTTGGAAGTCTACAAAACTGATTACAGAAAGGGGCTTCCGGTTTGTGATCGCAGCGCTGGCGGACGTGCGGGGCGATCACTCTCTCCGCCGTCTGGTTTTCTCCCGCTGGAGACCCTGAAAAGGGTCAGAAGTCGCCCTGGAGGGGCGACGAGTGTGAAGAGGACCTCCGTGTGATCACGGAAGGGCGGCAGCCCTCCCGTTTGATCCCGGGCAGCTCTTCGAACTGACGGGGAAAAGATCGGCCATTAATATGGCCCATCACTAAGCCGCTACCAGCCGAGACCAAAATTACCAACCAGCACTTCAAAAGCACCGCGGAGGAATTGGGTGAGATCCTACCTTCTTTGTACCCTAAGTATTTTCCTGTAAAAAGCCTCTTGAAATTTCTTCCCCCTGTGAGGAGAGAGGGAAGGGAATGTTTTCTTCCCACTCTCTAAAATGGTGGTGTCTGACTACCTAGGGGAAATAAAGCCTTGAAAAGAACAACTAAATAATTGGATTTGCTTCTTTTTTATATTTTGGGACCCAAAAAGTTCCTACTCTCACGGGGACCTGCTACTCTATTTACTTGTAAAAAAGATGAAAAAGAACTTAAATTGGATAAAAACCTAGCCTGGGATTTGAAAAAGATTTTAAATGCTATTGAGGACATCTTGTGGCGAAATTTGGTACAAGTGAATATTCTTGACAAAGAGACCTGCTCTTAGCCCAGATCTGTCCTTGGTATTATCTAAAAGAGATTAAAAGCTGAGAGAACAGCTGGGCGATGAAATTGCTTTTTAAGAACTGTGGAGGTGAATACTTACTGACTTTTGCTTAATAAATAGACTTCACTAAAGGACCATCTATAACCATGCCAGGAATGGAGGAGGACCAGCAACAAATTTCGGCTAATTATAAACTTATACTTGAAAAAATTCTTGAAGCTACTGAGATAATTAAATCTAGACTGAAAGACAAAGGCGCCAGCTTAAATCTACAAAACGAAACCCTGATTGCAACTAAAGAATTTACAATCCAAAAAACAACAGAAGCGGAAGAAACTAACACCAAGACAGAGGACTTTAAAGATCAACAAGTACAATGTATTGAAATTTTAGTCAATCAAACCCTGATTGCAACTAAAGAACCTACAATTCAAAAAACATCAGAAGCAGAAGAAAGTAATACCAAGACGGAGGGCGTCAAAGATCAACAAGTACAGCCTATTGATAACTTAGACAATCAAACAACAACTACAAAATTGGACATGACTTTTTACTTAAACCAGACGAAACCTGAGGAAGACAAAGACCAGATTGAATGGAAGACAAATATACTAGAGCAAATACGGGGAGCTGTGCCACCAGGGCGACAACTTAATTATTATAAATGGGCCAGTTTTTCTAGAAAATTGACAATTAGATGGTCTCCTTTAGTTCAAGTAACATGTACAAGAATGAAGGGAGATCTATCTGATGATCTAAAAGCATTGGTATGGAAGCCTGGTTGGCATAAAAAGAAAGCTAGAGTTAGATTTAAAAAATGGGGTCTTTTGATTTATTAGAGAGGATCCTAAAGTTTCAATTAATGGGCTAAAGGGAGACTTTGAGATGAAGGGAATTTTGATTATTAGAGTTAAATACTGTTGGAAAATAATAAAAAAGGGATTAATTGGCTTACTTAGATTTATAAGGGAAATGAAAATTAATTATTAGGAAATAGCTTTGAATTATTGTTTAGCCCAGACAACGCAGATCATGGATTTGAAATAAGAAAGGATATTCCATTATTGTGGTGATGTACTAGGATGAGAAATAGAAAATATTTATGAAATAAAATAAGAATATATTTACGTAAGTAATATCTGTATTTTAGATAGTATAACTTCTATGTAGTGAAATAAAGGAAATTTGGGTTACCCGAAAATTAAATACTATGGATATTAAAGGTTAAATTGGAATATTGCAATTAAATATTAAAATTAGGTAAAACTTAAAAACAGGATATGGATATGTATAAGTAAAAACATATTAATGAGTGCTTTAATTGAGTTTGATATAATTAGAAATTTACTAGCTTAAATATGATATAGCAAATGTTAAGGGAAATAGAGAAGGAATTTTAGATGATGTAACCTGAGATATGTACTAAAGATGTTGTTATTAAATTATTGATTAACCCAATCACCACGTTGCTTTCCAAATACTCAACTGTAAAATTGGAAAACTAATAAAAATTTGTTATAAAAAAAACTGATTACAGAAAGGAAATATGCTTATGTTCTTTATATGTCAAGTTGGTGATATAATGTGCTTCTTTGACACAAAGTAACTAACGGGTTGGACAGAGGCCCATCCAGGAAGCCACTATACAAATAAACGAAGGGCTAATTATACACTACTTTGCCCTTGAAGCCAGGCACACACTGGAGAATAAATCCTGCTTGTATTTACCATTAAGTTTCTTCTGTTGGTAAATTGTCTCATTCAGGATGGTGAAGACTTGATGGATGAGAGCGTGTTGAAATTCTACACTCAACAATGGGAAGATTATCGGTTTTCAAGCAAAGTGCTGAATGGAATTTGTGCCTATCTCAATCGACACTGGGTTCGTCGTGAATGTGATGAAGGCCGAAAGGGAATATATGAAATTTATTCCGTAAGTTTTCATGAAGGGTAGTTATAGTCTGTGGAAAAATTCAGCAGTCTTGTTTTAAAGGGGGAAATGAAATATGTGTTTTGTCTTTTTTGAACCACTTGTCTTTTTACTTTCTCTTAAGTTTTCTTCCTGCCTATATGCAACTCAAAATAAAATCTTCCGCATATAGAGGTGTGTGAAAAGATCAGTTTGCTGGCTTTCTATTCTTCACCAAATTATGAAAAAAATGCTTGACTTTTTACTCTCATGAAGTATTTCTACACTGGCAGAATTTTTAAATTTGGGTGTCTTAATTGGTATTTTGTTGTGCAGTATATTATGCATCTACTGTTTTATCATTAAGCTCAGGCTTTAGTGGGATCTGGCCCTCAAATGATATGGAGTGCTACCTCTCCCCTCCTTGGTACTAGAATGTGCCATGACTTACACATTGATCTGGTATAGATTTGCTTGCATTAACACCATTTGCCTAGTGGTGTCCTTTTTCACTTTGATATTTTATTATGAGCTACATTTATTTGTGTTCATGATTACTTAATTCTTACTGTCAGGAATATGCAGGAATATGCACATTTTAGCTGCCCTGTCAGTCCAGAACTGTAGAAATGTGGTCCTTGGTTCAAGGTGAATCTGTAAAACTCAATATTAGGTTACAGAACGGACCACAGATTTTCTCAGAAAGTATTTTTAAGCAGAGGAAACACAAATAGCTTAAGGATCAAAGGCAATATTTATCAAGCTGCCCAGAGTCACGTAACAACGAGATGGGTGGCATATAAATTTAATAAATAAGTAAAAATAAATAAAAACTTTATACCTTAGTTTCAGATAAAAATGAAGCAAAGTCTGGTTGTATGCATAAAAACAGATAAGAATTGAATGAAGCTAAACAAATGTTTGCTGGACCAAGAACTGTGTTTTTATTATTGTATGCTGTAAAATGCAGAAGTGCATTATATTTAGTTTTAAGTGGAAAGAGACAGTATATTTCTTTTGCCTCTATATGCTAGCACTTCACTCCCATTTCTCTTTTTGCATCATAGGGGATTGAAGAGCTGAGATTCTTGTGTTACTCATTTTCTAATGGAATCACTGAGAAAGTTGTTTCTGACATAATTAGGAAGCTGTGAAGAAATTCACTTTCTTAAAGTGTTGCTTTGCCACTTCCTTTCATTTTACATGTAGGCCTTGCAAATAATCTAGATTTTACAACATAGATTTTTCATTACCATTTCCTGTAAAATAAATTCTTAGTTCAGAATTTTGCTTTAAGTTTTAATGTAACTTTGTTTGGACAGTTAATTTTCATAGCCGTTGATAAAAATACAGTAATTTAGTTGTTGCAGTTTGATGTATCATCTTTCCATCTGTAACTAAAGAAGTACCCCACTGGTAGAGCCCTACAACATTTTTTTAATCAACATTCTTCCTAGAAATTTGTTTTCTGATTGCTGTCCCCTGTAAATCTTTTTCATACAGTGACTTACACTTTGTATTACACCCATACTGCACAGAAAATCCTAATTTAGCAGAATTCATACTCAAATTTGTATGATTTTCTTTCTCAAATATTATTTGGAAGAGAAAAAAATGATGCTTATGAGTAGTATCGTTGAATCTTAATGTTAAATTTTCTTAATATTAAATACTGTACTGAAGAGTATACAATGCCATGACTATCTACTTAAATTGGTCTAAATTGTATATACAAAAATTGTAATTTTGTAATTGAATTTACACAAATGGACCTGTATAAAAAAATTAAGACTGAAGTTTGCCCTCCTATGTTCTCTTAACTAGTGGCTTTCGTGAACACTATCCTCTCAGTTTGCTAGTGTCCTATGACAGTGTGGTGGTATTCGTTAATGGATGCTAATTTGAAAAGTGTTTCTTGAAGGATGGAACTTTTGAAAACATGGGAACATGCAATATTAAAGATAGCTATAAAAGCAGGAATAAGCATTTCTGATATTCCTTCTTTTAAATCCTAGCTTGCACTGGTGACCTGGCGGGACTGCTTGTTCAAGCCGCTAAATAAGCAGGTAAATTTCTATTAATGGATATTTTTGCTTGTAATGTTTATATTAATATAACAAAATCAGTATTTGGAGTGAGGGACTATGAGAAAGTGATTTTAAAAATTCTTTTGTGTATAATTGAGATATTTATTTAGATTTCAATTTACATTTATTGCCTATAACTTAATATTTTTCAATAATTTTATTAAGAATTATATTGAACAGATAAAACTAATACAAGAACCTAATACAAAAATACATCAGAAAAGAAAAAAAGAATAAAAACACTAGAAAAAATGCCCCCAAAAGAAACTTCCCCCTTCATCCCCAGCAAGTATATTCGACATTAACAACATATCTCTGTCTCTTAAAATACAACCAAATACATCTTCATTCCATACCTCACACCATTTTCTATAAACTCATCTCTAAATCTTTAGCTCTCCTTATTAATCAGCAAATGTCCAGTAAAAATTAACAGAAAAACCTAACAACATAAGTATACAATCCCCCTTTCCATTTAGTCTAAATCTCCCTTATCCCTCTCTTTAATAATCAAAATCTAATCCCAATTAACAATTAAACATTGCAAAAAATTAAAAACTTTAAACATTACCAAAAATAGTAGCCCCTTATTTACATATCAAAAATAACCCTGTTATTGCAAACTAATCCATTACACCCAGTGAAACATTTTTTTTAAAAAAAACCCTATCCAGTCAAGGTAACCATTAAGCATCACCATAGAGAGCAACCCATTATTTAACCATAATGAAGCAGAACTATTTTGGTTCCAGTATAGAGTTAAAAAACACTTCTTGAAGCCACAGATCAAATGTTTCCTTTAAAGTAGCCACCTTGTGCTCTCTAGTAATTGACTTTCAAAGACTTTCAAATTTGAACTTTAACAAGACATTTTTATCCAAAGCCTTAGCATTTAAAAACTTTCCAAAAATAACTCTATAATCACCCCTTTTTTGTATATTGCAAAAAATAAAAACCTTACAAAGCTGTAAACACATAATTTTCTTCCTTTTTAAATGAATTGAAGAGAGGTTCACCCAGGAACTGGTAAACTTGCGGTTCTGAAGGTTTTCAATCTTAAAGAAACAATATGGAAAATACATTTTCAGAGTGGTTAAAAAGATGAGGTTTGGTTGAACCTTGAGTCTGTGAAAGGCTGCAGAGCATGATGGAACCTGCAATTCCCAGCTGATTGTAAGTGGCTGCAAAAATGTCAATTTCTGGCATCTACTTACCAAACAACAGCTGTCTGGAGTATGTATGGGTAATCTCCAGGTCTCTCTTTTTCCAGAGTGAATTTCTGCAGTCTGGATCTCATACCTAGCTGCCTTTTTTACCATAATGCCCCCTGCAATCCGCAGAGAAGAAAAAATGTGGGCGTTAGTTTGCCATGCCTCACCAGAAGCCTCAATAGTGTAAATTACTGTAAATTATTCATAAGTAATTTTAACTGCTTTAAAAATGCATCTAAATAAAAGTGTGGGAATAGAGAATTATTAGAAAAATAGAAAGTCACAAAATCTAGAGCTGAAAAAATTTAAAAGATCATACAGTTTAACATGAGAGAGGCACATATCTAGTGATATTATCTGTTGCTCTTAGGAGTATAGAATATACTTGTTAGTTTCTAGAAATCTGCTATACTGTGGAATTCTACTGAGGGCCACTTTGAATGGCTTGTGCCAGGCATCTTAATGGAGCCACTTGGCTTCCAGTGGTTGCTTAGAGAGCTTCCTAGCAATTTGGAGAGCAGTTCAGTTCAGACCGAAATCAGTCTCTAAAATAGTGAGGCACTAAGACCAGTTACAAATCCATCTGTTGGTGATGCTCTCTAACCCACATTTGTTTATCCTGTCAAGTAATAGGTTTTGGTCTACTTTATCAAATGCGTTACTGAAGTCCAAGTAAATTATATCCACAGCATTCCTCTGGTTCACTAATTTAGTCATTTTGTCAAAGAATGCAATAAGATTTGTCTGGCAAGATCTGCTTTGGACAAACCCATGTTGGCTTCTGGTTATGACTTTGTTTGCCTCTAGGTGTTTGCAGATTTATTACTTGATTATCTTTTCCAGAAGCTTTCCAGGTATTGATGTCCGGCTGATAGGTCTGTAGTTTCCTGGATCCAGTTTTTTCCTTTTTTGAAGATTAATTAACAACTAAATTAATTAAAAACAACAATTAACAACTAAAAGCCACACACAACCCAGCACCACATAAATATTATGCATATTACAACCCAGGGCACACATTGTGGAGAGAGAAGTTCCCTGTAGATGGGCTCCAGCATGAGTCTGAAAGCTTGGAAGAATAAACCTCTGATCCCAGTGACTGACTCATATTGGATCCTACAGAATCTTTGGTTGAATGAGCTAGGCCAGGGATAAGCATTTTTTTCTGTAAAGGGCCAGATTATAAATATTTAGGTTTTGTGGGCCAAGCAGGGGCTGCATGGGAAGAGCTGCCACTGCTGTGCCCTCCCTCTGGCCCTCATGCCCCAGCACATTGCTCACCTGGTGTGGGAGCAGTGAAGCAGTGGCAGCCCAGGCAAGTTTGGAGAATGGCAGTCCTGGCATGCCTCCGTGGGTGCAGCTGACAGGTCTATAGGCCAAGGAGCATGGCAGCTTTTGGACAGCGCTGGCCTGCCAGCAAGGAGGCCACTCGTTGGCTGCCACACAGGATGTTCCACTGTTGGCCCTGATCTCAGTTTGGAAGCTTGGCTGAAGTTTGGCTCTGCAGGCCTATCATCTGCCTACCCATCCATTAGCTTGCAGGCCATGCCAAAAAAGGTGGAGGACTACATTTGCTCTGTGGGCCATAGTTTGCTGACCCCTGAGCTAGTCCATCAGTGGGCAACATCCCTTCCCTATCTGGCTTGGAGGGTGTAGGAGTACAGCTTGGAGGGGATTAGGAGGCTGGATCTGAACTATTGTGACTGCTTCATTGTGGGAGGGATAATTTCTAATGGATTTGAGGAGGGCACTGTGTACCTTCTCCATAAGGGGCCAATTTTGGACCCAATTTTTTAAAATTGCTAAATCTCCAGCCTTCCCTTTTTAGGGAAGGTTGATGAGAAGGTAATGAGACAATAGCTCTTTTCAGTCAGGGCTTAGACCTGGGCATGGGTTGAAAGCTGAATTGTTTGCTCTCGTTGTCTTGTTATGGGGTTTAAACAGGGACCTGCTATTGTTTTGTGTTCTTTGATAGTATTGACCATAGTGCCCTTTGGGAGCCCTGCAAGGGTTGTGGGTTGGAAATACTATTTTACAATAATTCTTCCTGAGCAGGTGGTTCTAGTTGATGCATATGGAATGAAGAGACTAAACAACCCCTAGGGCACCGCAGTTTGGAGTGCCAAAGGGCTCACTCTCTCCCCTATCATTTGTATCACCTACATGAAGCCACTACTAAGTCATTTGATGTTTTGGAGTACAGTATCATCAATATGGGGGCGCGATGGCTCAGCAGTTAAAGATGCTGAGCTTGTCAGCTGGAAAGCTGAAAGCCCAGGTTCGAGACCCGAACACTACACAACGGGGTGAGCTTCTGTTATTTGCCCCAGCTCCTGCCCATCTAGCAGTTTGAAAGCATGCAAATGTGAGTAGATAAATAGGTACCACTTCAATGGGAAGATGACAGTGTTCCATGACCACGGAAATTTCTTCAGACAACGCTGACATGAGCACTGCCAACTAGAGTCGGACACGACTGGACAGGGGAAACCTTTATCATCAATATGTTGTTAACATCCAGTTGTATTTTTCCACCATTTTTAACAAATCATATGGCTATAGTATTTAATAGCTGAACTTTAATGTTAAACCCCAGTAGTTAAAAACAAGTGACATAAAAAATGCTATTCTCACAATGAGCTCAATGTGATGCAGCTCATTCCTGTCAGAATAGGGCATAGTTAATCAAAATGTTTAAATTGGCTCATTAATGTAACATTAATAGAGACCCTAAACCAGTAGTGGCGAACCTTTTAGAGACCGAGTGCCCAAACTGCATCCCAAAACCCACTTATGCATCACCGGGTACCGGGTGGGCATGGCCCATCAGGTGGGCGTGGCTATGGTAGTCATGGCAGCATGGATGGGCGTGGCCAGGGTGGGCGTGACCACCTCGATACTGCTCCTGGGGAGGGATGCCTGTGGGGAACGAGCAGGGTTGGGGGAGATCCAGAGGGTCTCTGGCAGGTGGGATGGTGGGCAGGAGGCTCGTCCTGCAGAGTGAGGCGAGGCGAGGCGAGGGAGGGGGCAGGGCAGGGGTGCCATTGCCGTGGGGCAAGGCAAGGCAGGGACCCGGGCTGGTTGCAGACAAAGGGGGGCTCCGGTGAGGAGGAGGAGGAGGTGGAAGAGGGTTTAAGCAAGCTTAGCAACCGGAGTGGGGATCCCCCCCAAAACAAACATGCTTCATGGGTAACCTCAAAGCACGACAGAAGAGACCACCCAGCAGATGGGAGGGAAATAAAAACCAAACAGCCCCCCCCAGCCAATCCTCAACAGAAATGCTCTCGGCAATGAAAGCCTCGGACGGGGAAGAGCGCAGGCAGCAGGTGTCTTGCTCAGCTGATGGCTTGGGGGGGGAAGGGGGCAGCTACACCCCCTCCCAAACACTGCCCTCTCACAAAAGCAGGATGAAAACTCACAAAAGCGACACGGAAAAAAAATTAAAACAGAAGAGTGTCTCGCAATGGTTTTCTTCCCCACTTCCTTCTAGCTGCAGTTTAAATATGTAAAGACCACAAAAGAAAAAACTTGGCTTTCTCTTGTTTTAATTCAGAAGGCAGGACTGGGAGGATTGGGGGGGGTTGTTTGTTTCAAAGGAAGGGAGGATGCTGGCTGAAGAATTCTGGGAGCTGAAGTCCACAAGTCATAAAAGGGCCAAGTTTGAAGAGCCCTGTTGTAAGCCAATGTTTGAAAACACCTCCATGAGAGCCAGGTTTTGCACACACATGTATGTTTGGGACTACATCACCCCGTTCCAGTCTGATCCCTCCTGAACATGGGTGTCCACTTAAAATTAGGGAGCTCCTAATTTTTCAGCCCTTCCAACGCGCAGCTCCCCTCATTCATCAAACCGACACCCAACAGGACAGGAATTGCCTGCAGGCAGAAACCGATGAAAGTCGAATCGGTTTTCAAGGTGGCCCACTCACCGCCAGAGATTGCCCAGCGTCTTGCTGAGCTCGGCATTGTGCAGGTGCGGGTAATGGCCGGCTTCCTGCACGCCGCCTGCGCCCAGACCTGGAAGGCGTTCATGGGCCGCTTGACATGCGGCTTGGCCTTCAGCGCCCCGTGGCCCCGCACTGTCATGGGCACCAGGCTCCAGTCGTAGCCCTTCAGCACCTGCGAGACGGCGTCCCGGATGCAGGCGGGGAAGCGCTCGTCCCTGCTTAATCAGAGCCTGCCCGGGCCACCTCCGACGCGCATGTGGCTGAGCAGACAACTTCTCCCAGCCCCTGGACGAGGTAAAAGGGGCCAGATCCCGTTCCTCCCACCGAACCCTGCTCTCGCTCGCTCGGCCCTGCTCAGCCCTGCCTGGCTTACCAGTGCCTGCCCGGGCTGCTGCCGCCTCCGCTGCGCACGTGGCTGAGCAGGCAACTTCTTCCCGGCCCCTGGATGAGGTAAAAGGGGCCAGATCCCGATCCCCCCACCCAACCCTGCGCTGACTGGCTGGCTGCTGGCCGTTCTCCCGCCGCCCCAACCCAACCCTCGCAGAGCCCCGACCCGGTTCCTTACCTCCACCCGGCTTGTTCCGCGGCCTCATGGCAGCGGCACTGGGCAGGAAGCAGCAAACGGCCGGTTTTGGCGTGACATGGCTCTTTGCCTCCAGTCGGAGGCAAAGATCCACGCCACACCAAAACCAGCCATTTGCTGGCTGTTTGCCTCTGGCTGGAGGCAAAGATCTGTGCCACGCAGAAACCGGCCTCCGGCAAATAGCCAGTTTCGGCGTGGCGTGGATCTTTGCCTCCTCTCGGCCCCAGCCTTGGTGGTGCACTCACCTTCCGTGGCAGAGGGGCCAAGGCGGTGGCCGGGGGTGGCTCCGGGCAAGGCATGCGGCGCTTCGATGGCTCCGCATCAGCGGCTGCGGCCGGGCCGGCTCTGAAAGAAGCGAGCGGGACACCCAGTTGGGAGGAAGAGCGGGCGGGCAGGTGCGGCTCCGGTCCCTCCCCGGCGAGCCGCCCTTTGTTCGCCCGGAGTCCTGCGGCGGGCGCCTCCCTCGCGGCCTTAAATTGGCAGGCGGCGCTGCTGGGTCTGCCACATGGCCGGGAAGAGGCAGCCGGAGGGCTGAGCGGCTCTGGCCACACCCACGCTCCAGCCGCGACCCCAGCCTTACAACCTGCGGGGGGAGGAGGGCGCTGGGCCGCAGAGCCATCAGCGATGAGGGGAAGCCAGGCCGTCTCCTCACTGCCACCCGGTGGCCGTCCGGGGGTTCCTGACTGACAATTTTTGGATGCCTGAGACAAAAGATCACAATAAAATATTGCTTTTGTGACTGGACCTGTATTCTGGAATCTATTGGATTATAAAGGCTACATATAAAGAACAGAAAGCTAGAAGAAATTTTGTTCTACTCTTACTGAGACTGGTGATATTAGAGGATCTCCAGGAAAAATGCCTCAAGAAAAAACAAACAGCCTTCAGAAGGAAATATACTCTACGCTACAACTAAGTCACCAAACAATTGTTGCATACAAAGAAGACATAAAAAGAAACCATAATGAGACTAAAAATAATTTAGATAACATAAATGAGCAAATCTCCAAATTAAATCTACAACTAGAAAGTTCCCAGACAACGACTACAGAGTATGAACAAATAAACCAGAGATCGGAAGATGAAGCAGAGGAAATGGACCTAGAGACGGAAGAGATGAAAGAAGGGAAATATAAACTACGATACACAAATACTGCAAGACTTACCCATAACAATGAAAATGCTAAAGACCCTGTACCCTTTAAGTCTGCAAGATGCACCTGATGACAAGGAAGAAGATTTTGGGGAATGGAACATAGAGCTGTCAGGGGAAATGTTACAATTTGGGAGACAAAAGATGGGAGAAATTGAGGGAGAAGGAAGGTGGGGGTTGCTTAAGAAACATAAATGGGCGGAATTCCCCCCCCAAAATATCCTACCTAAATTGTCTTCCTCATGCCAAGCAACTTTCATAAAAATGGAAAGAAAATTCCTGGGTGATTTAATTGCCTTGGCTTGGAAAGCTACTTGGCAAAGAAAGAAGCGAGAGTTAGATTTAAAAAATAGAAGATTTCACCTATTAGAGGGGGCATCACATGTTTAAATACTTGTTTGAATATGATTAAAAGAATGGATGACCCTTAGATATAATTAGACTTTTATAATGAAAGATATGATTTAGAATTAAAATAGCATTTTCTTCTTCTTTTGATATGGGAAACATGAAAATAAGAGGATTGGTATGAATAAAAAGTTTAGCTATATAAATGTAATTAATATTGAGAAAATCATAACTGACAAAGATACTTTAAATATTGATGGGAAATCAAACTTTAACAAGAGCACGAAAAACAAGATATTGATTTATTAACTGATATTACTGTTATCTGTATAATATTAGTAAAATATGATGAAGATGTTTATATCTAACTTTGTATACATCAGTAGTACCAAGAATTATAATTGTGTAATGAGGGGAAAATGGAAAAATATGGGGAAGAAAGGAGGATCAGGGGAAAAATACTGGATTGTCCAGTACTGAATAGATTTATATTGAAGAAGTTAATGTTAAATATGTGAACCCAGACAACATGTTGTTTACTAAGCTCTAAAGATTGTAATTCTTAAAAATTAATAAAACTTTTTAAAAAAAATCTTTGGAGGGAGCTGAAGGTTCGAGCTGCCAAACGTCAGCCTCGAAACCCTAATGCAGTGGTGGCGAACCTATGGCACGGGTGCCAGAGGCGGCACTCAGAGCCCTCTCTGTGGGCACGCGCGCCATCGCCCCAGTCCTAGGCCTTCAGCTGGGTTTTATAAAACTTTTTCGCTTTAGGCCTCTGCCCCGTGTGCAAAAAAAAAAAAAGGTTCAATCAGTCAATTTCAACTTCTCACGGGGAAAAAAAAGGTCTTGCAAAGTTGGAATTGATTGATTGAACTTTTTAATCCCACCCAGTCTGCCGTTACCACTGCAGCCACGCCCACCCAATGGGCCATACCCAGCCAATGGGCCACACCCACTCGGCTCTCAACGATGCATAAGTGGGTTTTGGGTTGCAGTTTGGACACTCAGTCTCTAAAAGGTTCGCCATCACTGCCCTAATGACTTGGAGAGGATCTGCAAAGAGGAGTGAGACAAAATCCCTCCTGAGATGTGTGCAAACCTGGTGGCCAACTGCAAAAAACGTCCGACCTCTGTGATTGCCAACAAGGGTTTTGCCACCAAGTACTAAGTCATGCTTTGCAAAGGGGTCAAATACTTATTTTACTCATTAAAATGCAAATCAATTTATAACTTTTTTGAAATGCATTTTTCTGCATTTTTTTGTTGTTGTTATTCTGTCTCACACTGTTAAAATGAACCTACCATTAAAATTATAGACTGGGCAAACATACAAAATCAGGGGATCAAATACTTTTTTCCCTCACTGTATTTACTTTAAATAATCATTACATACTGTAGAGATCAAATTATTCTTTCCATGTATTTAGTGTAAACTTGTTGTTGTTGTTATTAATTTTCTTCTATTTTATTAAACTTAATATTTTGGTGCAACTTTTGGGGATGATCTAGGGATCACATCTAAGGGATCACATCTGAATTTCATGCAGCTCAGGGACCTGAAGTGTCCTCTCTATATAAGGATCTCATATATTATTCAAATTGTTAATTTGTATGTTTACCTAATTCTTATTTTCAAAGGTAACAAATGCTGTGTTGAAGCTGATTGAAAAAGAAAGATATGGTGAAACTATCAATACAAGACTGATCAGTGGAGTTGTACAATCTTATGGTAAAATTAATATTAATGATTGTTGGGTTTTTTTAATGCTATTGTTGTAAAGTTTAAAATGTGGTTTGTATATGGTCCCTTCTTGCTTCTATGTGAAGTAATTTGAAATATGTAATATTTGTATCTATTCCACATTTTATGAGCTCCCTAAGCTTGTTAAAAGTAGAAATTGGGGGATGTTTCTACTCTACTTTCCCTTTTCTGTGAATTCAGAAGCATTTTAAATTTTATTACTGTTTTAATGTAGAAAAAAGGGGAAAACATACAAGTAAAATAGAAAAAAGAAACAATTAAAACATGTTAACACATGGGAAATTATTCAGTCTACTCTTTAAACACAAGATTAAAGCTTGACTATTGATTTTGGTCTTTGCATTACATCTCAAGAGGAGCCACTTTATTAAAAAAAACCATATATACTGTATATATGTGTGTGTGTGTGTGTGTATATAAATAAATGATCCATACTGTCAAAAGTCACACTTTTTTCCAACATAAATGATTAATCTTTTTCTACTGGCCCCCATGGTTGATAAAGCGATAAATCATGTGCTGATGAGTTCCAGGCTTTAGGTATGTAATTCAAAGTTAATTTATATCTTTTAACTGTATTGATCTTTATAATGCCATAATAACACACTTATGGATATTGAACCAAAACAGCAATTGTGGGATAAGTACATTTCATATGAGTTAAGCGTCCAAATGTCCATTTCATATTTAACTTATATCAAGGATGATAGGCAGCCCTTTAAAAATATTATTTCAGGTATCTAGTAAATGGGGAAAATAGTTCATTAAATTAGTCTCAAGAGATCATATCACACATAATATTCTTTAAAATTTAGCCATTGATCTGTTAATATGGGATATTCCATGTCTTTATTCTATAGGTCTTGTATCATCCAAAACACATTCCAGTAGTTTAAAAATTCAGGAGTTTCAGATGCTGTTAATACAGATGGACCAGGTTGTAAAATCAAGAGATGTCTTAATTGACTTATTCCAATTAATTAAATAGCCTGATAAATTAATATTCTCTTGCCCAATACTAGTATATAATTATCTATGGTAGATCAGGGGTGTATTACGTAAGATTTCCAGCTTTCTGGTCTGGAAATAATCCAAGGAATGAAACCTCTGTGAACCAGTATTTATTGTTACTGATTAGCCCATAGGCCATATCAAAATACAAGATAAAACATAAAACCTGACACAATAGAACCATATGTAAAAGTGAAGTACAAGAAACAAAAAGGATAAATAAGGAATGCAATATCATGTTTCTGAGTCACCCCTACAATTTATCCCAATCAGACCCACATATGTAGATCTCAGCTGGACTGTTTTATTCAGATAAAGGGCTGTGTTGTATGTGATTTTTTGCTTTTGACCGCAAATAAAATATGTAGTTCTAATATGAGGGTCCCAATAGTTCATCTAATGTGTCATCCAAGATGCCGGTCTCTCTCTTCTTTATACAGTTGACAATCAAATAATTTATGTGGTAGAACTTCGATTGCTGTAGTTCCACAAATGCAAACACATTTGTTATAAGGAACTTGGTTAAATCATCCATATTTGACCATTGTGTCTAGCTCAGTGGTGGCGAACCTATGGCACGGGTGCCAGGGGCGGCACTCGGAGCCCTCTCTGTGGGCACACGCACCGTCTCCCCAGCCCAGCCCCGCCTCCCACAGCCCCTTCCTCACCACCAGCCACCCCAGAGGAGAGTCGCCCCTGGGCGCAGCCCATGCAAAGCAGCGCAGCCAAGGACATGGTAGCTGGGCAGTGGGGACAAGACTCCGCCCTTGCGCCCCATCACGTGCAGATGATGCTGCGGGGCACAGGTGAAGGGTGTGGCCACCATGGTGCTGCTGAGCTGCCTGGGTGATCTGTGGCGGGCCATGGAGGTGGTGGGTGGCCCAGTGGGCATGGCGGAGCGGGGACGGGGTGGGGGGCGGTTTTTGGGCACTCGGTCTCTAAAAGGTTCGCCATCACTGGTCTAGCTGCTCAAATTTTGCGCATGTAAATACCTCTCTAACAAGTTTTGGCATTTCTGTTTTTAGCTACTTGGCAATTCGGAAGATGTATTTATAACAGCTCATCCATTTCAGTGAGCCTAGCTTGCTGAGGTTGGCTATGTCTGTGCATCTATATCTAAGATTCTTTGTGCAGCAATCTTGTTGGCTTGCTCTCCAGTTGTATAAGATACAGGGAGACTACAGCTTCTGTTGTAGTTTATCAGTTGTGCATACCAAGAGGCCTTTGATTGAGATTTTGTCTGTTCAGACATAATTTTGGTAATCTGTTTCCACAGCATTGATTTTAGTCCAATAATTATATGCCCTGACTTTGGACAGGGAACAAATGGTGTGAATTCCCAATTCGGCTTTAAATGTGGCAGCTCAAGTACTTTTATCCACATATCAAGATACTTTTCAACTGTTGTGATTGTGTTTGTTCTAGTATTGAGGTTTGTTTTAAGTGCCAGACTTCAGTTCCATATAAGAGAAAAGGGATGATCTTGGCCTTATAGACTTTAATAATTGGGGCTAGTGTACCTGGGTGACTGTGGTTTTTTAGTTTAAGGAGTAGATTCCTTTGTGCCCCTTGCTCTAAGTGAGTTCTTTGGATGGTACGGAAGCCAAGATCCAGTCTCAGAGAAAACTACCTCTAAGTAGGAAAAGACATTTATGTCAGACCCACAGTGTATTTCGTCCTTTTGGTCTTATTTTCGGCTTCTGCCATTCTATTGGGGGGGGGGAAACCTAAAGTCTTCTGCAATGTACTTCTCTTGCTTTGTTCTATCCTCTTTGAAGTATCTTACTTTGGGGTGTGAAAGGAATGTGCCTCTGGCCATCTGCCTTATCTCCAGTCGGATGGGAAGAAGCCGCGGAGAAACCTGACAACCTTGAGAACGGCCTTATTGGTTCTTTCCCACAACAATTTAGCAGGCATCAGGAAGAAGGAGGACTGGGAAGGAAGGTCCCAGAAAGTGACCATCGACCGCAGCAGACGCAAGCCGGGATGGAGACATAAAATGGAGCATTCGCTTAACCTTAGCGAAGAGGAGGACGAAAGGCCGACCTGATCCAATCACTTCCTTAAGCAAGCAATAAACCTGATGGTGGAGGCCTTCAAAAACCTTAAGGAGGAAGAGGCAGACGCCTGCTGAGACAAGGTCGAGGAGAGGCTGGAGGAGGAGGCTGGAAGGGGAGAGAGCAAACCCTCCAACCCAGGAACCTCTACCAATGCTGCTGACACCGCGGGAGCCACGACCACAGCGATGACCCCAGCTTGAGCCACACCAGCCAGTGGTGATGGGCGCAGAGCCCAAAAGAGGGGGGCCCACCATCCCGAGCATAAGACTCCCCCCCTTGGTGTGAAATATGATGGGGACCCTCAGCAACTGGGGTTTTTCCTGGCCCATGTCCTGATCTACATGCAGGAGTATGGCCAAGAGCTCCCTAGTGAGGGTGCCTGGGTCAGGGTCGTCACCCTGGCCCTGGAAGGCACAGCGGCTCAGTGGATGGTAACCCTGCACAATGCCGAGGCACCCGAGCTTTGAAACTTCAACCGATTAATGGCAGCGCTGAGACGGCGGTTCAAAGATCCCTTGGCTGACCAGAAAGCCAGGGATCGCATTAAGACTGTCAAGCAGGGCTGATGCCCCGTGACCGAATAGACCGAAGAATTCCGAGACCTGGCTTGCCATCTCAACTGGCCAGAGGACATCCTAGTGAGTTGTTTCAAGGATGGGCTGAACAATGACCTCTACCATGCTTGTATTGGCCGAGGAGCCCCTGCCCACCTCCACGACTGGTGCATCCTAGCCGAGGAAGCAGAGATCAACATTGTTTGGGTCGAGCGTGGAAACGTTCCCCACTGGAGAGGAAACAAGAGGCAACGAAAAACCCTGCAGTGACCCCGCACTCAACTGCCTGCTTTAAATGCGGCAAAGAGGGTCGAGCCACATAGTGTCATTCAAAAACTCCGGTGAGAAAAGGAGACCGATCTGGGGGGGGGGAACCCATCAGAACCCCCCAGCACCCCAGGGAGACGGCGATGGAGAGCACTGAGGTCGTGGAGTTCCAACCCACCGAGAAATCGGGAGGGGGAGCTCTGACCCCACCGGAGAAGGGTCCAGAGATGTCCAACAGCGACTACGATGATGAACCCTTGGTAAGTGGACCCATCGAACCAATTAACAGGCCCATAAAACTGCTAATCCCAGGTATGGAGAAGAAGGTGGCCCTGAAGGCCTTATTGGACTCGGGCTGCACCAGATGTTTAATAAGCCCAACCCTGGTGGGGAATCTGAGGATTACTGTAAGGAGACTAAAGAAGCCAATTTTGTTCGGTCAATTAGATGGGTCTATTTCAGGGGGTGTCCCGGCCACCCTCTCCACGATGCCCGTGAAATTAATCATGGGGGACCACACTGAGACTTTGACTTTTATAGTGACCCCCGACATGGAATGGCCCCTAATCCTAGGACTGGCCTGGTTTAAAAAATGGAACCCGCGGGTGAACTGGAGAAAGGGGGACTTGAGATTTCCAAAAGGGAAACCCCACTTTCCCGATAGTCACTGCAGCCCCAAAGTGAAGCTTGAGCACGAAGTGGTGGCAGCACTCAACGATCGAGAATTAGAAGGCATATCCCGGGAGTACCAGGACGTGGCTGCGGTTTTTAGCAAGAAGGGCTCTGATGAGTTGCCCCCCCATCCCACAGACTGTGCCATTGTGATAGTCCCTGGAGCTAAGTTGCCAAAACCCAAGCTCTATTCGATGACACCCCCCCCCCGAGAGTTAGAAGAACTGCGGGTTCATTCAACTGGCCAGACTGAAAATGGCCACTCCGGTGCTATTTCAAGAAAAGAAAGATGGGTCTCTTCATCTCTGCATGGATTATAGGTGTTTGAACACCATGTGCGTGGACAATGTCTACCCCTTGCTGCTCATGAAAGACATGCTAGCTCACCTCTCAAAGGGGAAGATTTTCTCCAAGTTAGATCTGCAGGAAGCGTATTACCGGGTTAGAATAAAGGAGGGGGGTGAATGGAAAACCATTTTCAACTGCCCCCTGGGGTGCTTCCAATTCAAAGTACTTCCATTT